CACACACACACACACACACAGAGTGCTGGACTAGGAGCAGAAGATGCAGGTTCTATTGCTCCTTTATGCACACCAGGCAGCTGGATGACTTTGGACCAGGCGAACCAGGCGTCTTCCCTCAGCCCGAGACTGAGGAAAGTTAAAAAACATTTCTCTACCAACCGGTATTGGACCAGCTTGGTAGGTAATGGTACATGAACATCAATGAAGAGGTTACACACAAACACACACACACACGCACACACACAAATAGATGGATAGATATAGGTACAGATACACACACACACACACACACACTTATACATATACATATAGACAGACGTGTATGGCCTAGTGATGATTGTCATTCTATCATTCTACTAGTTACCTGATTCTAGCCAAGATTTTCAGATTCAGTTACAAAAGATCAAATGTTTGCTCAAATGTATAGCCTTGAAAATTAACATCACGGACCTTTGCTCTGAACCTGACAAAGAACCACTAGGCCACTCACATCAATTCAATTCATCTTTGGACAAAATGTCAAAGGGCCGAGGGTTATAGGGCAACAAAGAAAATTGTTTACTTTACTTTTTTGAAGTATGCTAACCCTAAAGTTTATTTATCTATGGTCTGAAAAAAAAAAATGACAGACATTTCTTGAGGGAAGAGATCTCTTTAGCAAACAAAATGGACAAATATTTTATCGCAGTAATTATTAACAGGAGTTTTTCTTTTCTCCTTCCCATGGGTATAGCGTAAGGTGGGTGGTGTTTACCCCAGGATCCAGGGCAAAATAGTATAAAAGTTCCACCTGTCCATTTGCTCTTCCTACTTTGTCCATTCTAGCCCCTAAACAGTTTGGAACCATGAAGTGGGTAATATTCATTTCTTTCCTTTGCTTGGTGAGCTTTTCTGAATTGAAAAACCTGCCCAGAAGATATCGGCATGTTGGTATGATGTTTTCTTTTTCTCACTTTCTTTTCAAAAAGATCAGTTTTTCACTTCTTCATTTCATTCCTCAGATTTGTATTGAGTTTGTAGTGTTACTGTGGAAACAAAGAGTAAACGCTCAGTCGCCAGGGAATTGTGTGCTCCTTCAATAGAATTTTCCAGAGTATATCCTAATTTCTCTTCCAAACGTATAA